TCTATTTCCCACCGTATTAAATCATCTACTTAATAATACAATATCCCCTTTAATAAATCAAAACCATTGTGTATATTTCCTGGGTTAATCAATAAATCAAACATATTCATAATAATTAATTTTTTTTCCTTTTAGGTCTAATTTTTAAATATTAAACAGATAAAGTCCTTATTTTCAACTAATTTCGAAGTATTTTAAATCTAACGACCAGAATTCTCCTTATCTCAACTTCTCCCTTTAACCCTCTAATCAATAATATGAAATCCCCTCTAATAAATCAAAACCCCAATTCTCTTCAACCTTATTCTGGCTTTCTTCCTTTTCCAACTAGGCTTCCGTATCAGTGCTTTTAGATCGTCAAATAGATCTCCCTTTATTACTACTATTATTATTATTATTATTATTATTATTATTATTATTATTATTATTATTATTATTAATTATTATTATTATTATTATTATTATTATTATTATTATTATTATTATAGCTTTCTTGAGGCTCCTGGGATAGTGATGAGTATGTAGGAAAGAAAATAAAACCAAAAATGTTATTTGTTTATATATATCATTTGCAGAAAACTATTCTGGCTGTAATCCAGGAAGGTTCTCTAAAATACTTTTGGGGTGGTATTATTGTTGGAATAATCATTAAAATACCACTGGGAAAAAAATGTTGGAACAGCCTTCTTACATTACACTTTGACCTAGGTTTTCTTGGTGGAAGCAATGGAATTGGTTAATATAGGCCACAGAGATAATGAATCTTACATTTCTATTTTCCTCTATAGAATGTTCTAAAACAAACACAATAGATAATCTTTTTTATAACTATAATAAAAAAGCTTGTAATGTTTATGGCTTCCCACTCTTCTTGGATTTGGATTGTGGTAGTTCTTTAAAAACAATGCCATTTCTTAATTGTATGTTAGTAAGTAAAACAAATGCATCACTAGATAACAATGATTTGTCTTCCTTCCCTTGAATTTCTAAATGGGTTATATATGTTTTTATCCTAGTAAATAAAGTGTTCTCGGTGATAAGACGTAAGAAGTTTATATTCTTGCAAATCATTCTTCGACGGTAGAGCTCCGATATACCCAATGAAATCTGATACGTAAGTACTTTCATGTAACAGTTGGAGAAATATGAAAGACACGAGGGATCACACTGTTAAATTGGAAGAAAATTTGTTACCGATGTTGTCATTTTGTCGAATGGATGTTATATTGAAAACAGTGAACATTATGGTGGGCAAATATCTCTTTAGAAACGGATGTTATTTTATCTGGAATATTTGAGATTGAAAGAACTGCGACTGAATGACATATATTCATGATCTTTTCAAAATCCAGATATTTTTGATGGAAACTCAGTTGTAAGGGGTTTGTAACTGGAGTTTTTCCAGTAACAAACACTATTCATGTTTCAGCTAACAGTTCATAGTTTATGTGTCAAAAGTAAGAACAAGTGGAATCCTTCTGTGCCTTGACAATTTTGAACAAAAACATATCTAGATTTCTAACAGAAAGGATGGAAAAAGAGGAAGAAGTTTAATAGAGCTTTTTTCCCCAGTTCCTCATCATCACTTTAAAGAATCTTTTTGGTATAACCTTCTGTTATTGAACATCAATTTGGAAGGAAAATAGTAAGGAGTAATTTAGCTGCTCTATTCCCTTTTTCAAATTTCCCAGCTTATATCTTCTGCTTGTTAGTGTATGCAGATCTTCTAGGCTCTTCTCAACCATGTCAGTGATTTCTGAAGTATATGGACAGTTGCCTCCAAGTTCTGTTTATTGTTCGCTAGAAACATGTCAAAAGTAAAGGAGTTAGACATTCTGTAGAGTATAGCATTTACAGTAATGCAAGAAGAAAATAATCATTTATGTAATGTCAAAATAAAACATTTATGTTCTAAGAATATTGTCAGATGAGGCCAGACCATCTGTTGCTTTAAAACATATTGGATTTTTTTTCTGCTGCTACAGCAGCATCTGGTATTTTCAAAAAGATCTGCAAACAACTGTAGTAGCTTTACAACTGTCTTCAACTTAAATTACACTGCCTTCTGTAACAAATCCTTTTAGTTTCTGAATTATGTTTTTCTAAACTGATTTTCCTGGACTTAAAAACAGAAGCAACCAGCCTGAGACATGGGGTGTGTAAATTCCTCTGACCTAAAATCTGCTTTGAAATCTGCTAACATACATGTTCCAAGCCAAACATGTCATAGCATGGCAATTATTTTCTGATGTTTTGTTGCTGCCACTGCTGCTTACTTAAACCCAGATGGGACAGTTTTATTTACTTACATTGATAAATAAAGTTTATGGAAAACTATTGCTACTGTGTGCCTAAGAAATCTAAAGGAAAAGCTATGCCAAAATGGCAGAATCAAAGTATGCTTGTATCTTTCTTTATCAAAAGGCATACATCTAATGTTTAAAACAAATCTATACCAGTCCAAGATTACTTCTAAATTATGTTTGCAGTTTTACAGTTAATCAAGTTTTAATGCATGTAGAGCCCCAAACATTTTGAACAGAGGACATGTATATGTACAGGCAGCAGTTCAAAATGGACACAGCAGTGTCCTTCATATTATGTAACCTTGCAAGTTCCCTTTAGATTAGTTCTACCATCAAGGTTTAAAAAAAGAAGGTAGGAAATTGAAATATTTTGGAGACACTATTCATATGGATTAATGGTTCAATTGTGCTTACTATTAAGTATGAGTGCATGGAATTACATCCCAAATCTTACACTGCACTAAAGTATTCAAGATTATAATACCCCCAAAGTTATTTTTAACATATTAATCTGCATTTGCATACAGTATATATGCAATAGTTGTAACATAGCTGTGGGATTTTCTTCTCTTAAAGGAGCTATTTAGAAGTAGTAGAACTACTAAGAGTAGCAACTGAGTCAATAAATCCTGGGTTTTGATGTATCAGACTTGCTAAGTCGTGGTGACCAAGTGTGGAATGTTCACTACCAGTCTACAACTGGTAATTACTATAAATTCATACAGTTGTCTTCCACGGGTACCAGAAGATTGGTAGGAACAAAGACAGCCTTCTCATTAATGAATTGATTAATTCATTCTTTCATGTGTGTGTGTGTGTGAGAGAGAGAGGCAGAGGGAGGGAGGGAGGGAGGGAGGGAGGGAGAGAGAGAGAGAGAGAGAGAGAGAGAGAGAGAGAGAGAGAGAGAGAGAGAATGAGAATGAGAATGAGAATGAGAATGAATTGGGGAGTTCAGATAACATGTTAAGCCAATATAAATTATATGGTTTAACATAGTTTATAGCCACATTGTTTTTGATAGAAGAAAGGGGTGGGATCTAGATGCAATAAGATTGCTAAAAAGATTCTCAGATAATATGTGAATAAATCTCTTCTTTCTTTGAAACAGCCTCTGTCTTATCCATGGGGGATTCTATGTAAGCCAAAACAAAAATGTTAAACTAAATTCCTAGCAATTTTTTAGAACTGATAAACAGTATGCATGCAACTTCATAATCCTGTGTTGTTTCAACATCCAATTAATCTGAAGTTCTTGAAGTGTGCTTAATGTAGCATCTTAATCCAGAATTCTAAAGATACTGTAGAAAGAAGCCTGAGAAGTTATCCAGCTAGCATCCCTATGGATATTTCAGTATAAGTGTTTGGAAACAAGGAATATGAAGTCTAACTTTGGAACTGACTTATTTTTATTAAAAAGATACAGCCTGGTACATATTATAAGTCTTTTACATACATATAAAGCGAGCTTTTGAAGTGAGCATTAAAGAGCTTAGTAAGCTTGTTGCTTCTGCATTGTCCCATATTTGCGAAGACGCTGTATGGTAATTACTTGGAGTTACAGAATAGGATGATAATTACTGTAATTCTTGTGTAACTGATCGGTATGCAAGTTAAGCCTGCCCTTTCAAAAGCTTTTGCTCATAAGCATTCATTCATTCATGCATTTGTTCATCCGTGCGTTAGCTTCTCCCATTCATTTGTTTACTTTTCTGACCTATATACTTTGTTCTTTAAAACAGATATACAGTACCCTTTCTCTAGCTCTCTAATCTAGAAGATAGAAACGTTTTCTACTTGTGCTTGGTGGATAGTGTGATTTTAGCAATTAGGAAAGAAATATTTTTTGGGGGTAGGGGGAAATTCAAATGGTGAAAAAAAAGAACTAGTTCATAATTGTTTAAGTTGAATTTAGATGTCATAAAATGCTGCTCTTGATTCTGAAATAAGAAACTATGATAATGCTGACTATAGATACACATTTACACTGTGCACTGCATGGGTCAGAAAGAGAGCTGAGAAAACATCAACAGACCCCCTCACATCCTGAACATAAATTGTTTCAACTCCTCTCCTCCTCAGGATGCTGCTATAGGGCATTTCATGCCAAAACAACTGGACACAAAGACAGATTTTTTTCCCTTGTGTTTTTCCCCAGTGCTAATTACCATTGTGTTTTTTCCCAGTGCTAATTACCATAGCACTGTCTTATGTCTAAATATATTTACCCATGTAGTAGAGCTGTATTACTATTATCCTGAACACCTAATTGCCATAGCGCTGCCTTATGTCTAAAGATATTTACCCATGTAGTAGAGCTGTATTACTATTATCCTTCTCATCTTTTATACTACCTTCTCCATTGGTATCTTATGATTATATACCTTATTGTTTGTATGTACACTGAGAGCTTATGCACTGGAGACAAATGCCTTGTATGTCCAATCACCCTTGGCCAATAAAATATTCTATTCTGTTCTGTTATTAAATGAAGGTTATTTAATAGTAAAGTTTCTTAGGAATATGAAAACTATACTGTATCAAACTAAAGGCTACCTAGCTCAGATTGATTTCTGTTACATTGCACATGTAATAGTATACTGGCTATTTCCTTTAAAAACAGAAAGATCTTCTACGTACATCTAACTTTTACGAATATATTAACAATATAAATACATTTATTTTTTTCCTTTGTAGTATAACAAACACCTCTTTGTGCACATTGGACATGCCAATCACTCTTATAGCGATCCATTGCTGGAATCAGTGGACATTCGTCAGATTTATGACAAATTCCCTGAAAAGAAGGGAGGCTTGAAGGAATTGTTTGGAAAAGGACCCCAGAATGCCTTCTTCCTAGTAAAATTTTGGGTGAGTAAGATATTAAGCAAGTTTTAGGCATGTGCATCTTTAGTTTTGTGTTTTCTGAATGTTAAAATAATCTTGGCTGGTATACAGAAAGTCGATGGAAGCACTTTTCTCTCTCTCAAGGAATAATTCAGTCTTACTCACCGACATGATAATAGATTCCAAAAGACATAGAAGGTACTTCACTTGGATTGGCTACTCACAATGTGTTAAGGGCTCTAGCTGAAGTGGTTTCTAAAAGAACAGACATATGGAAGACAAGCCCACTACTATATTTTAATCATGATTGGAAGAAATGCCTATTTCTTAAGAAGCAATAGTAGGAAAGGGGCTGTTATCTTTGGGCTCTGTTTGGGAACTTTTCAGAGGCATCTAGACGGCTAGAACGGAATATTAGTCTAGAAGGATTTCTGCCGTAATAAAGAGGCAATGTTGTATAGTGGTTAGGGTATTAAGATGTTGAATTGGGAGGGGAGGTTCATATTTAGTATCAGCCATGATGCTCACTGCATTACTTTGGAAAAAACACTATTTCTTAGTGCAGCTTTCCTCTCAAAATATTGTGGTTGGGAAGAAAAATGGAGGAAGAGATGCTATAGTTCTCATATTAAGTTCCTGAAACCATTTATTACAATAATTCAATAATTATGTTATTTGTTTCTATCAAATCATAATTATCTAATGCCACATATCATCCATTTAATTTAACACATTTTAAACTTTTGGCCCTGCTGTATATTTACCAATGTTTTAAATATATATTTACCAAATGTTTTGAATATATACCGAAGTTTTACCAAATGTCCTTACAAAAAGTTAACTTATGATGCAAATCAGTTATGTAGTTTGAGATCCTATTTCAAAACTGAAATGGCATATATTACTTTTTGTCTTTGTTTCAGAATTATAGTATGAGCAGTTTTCAGTTTCACAATCTCAACAGGTCCTGGAAACAGACGTACAATTTGCAGCTATTTCTAGCATATTTGTTGGCAATATATTTTTAGAAGTAGAATATTCTCTACATATACCAACAATCAATCAATCAATCAATCAATCAATCAATCAATCAATCAATCAATATATATATATATATATATATATATATATATATATATATATATATATATATATATATATATATATATATATATTAAACGAATAAAACTGAGCACCAAGAGAAGTAAAGTATAAAAGTTTAAAAATTTACTGAGCCAAGCTTTCTTCAGAACCCGTCTGACATCATCAGGGCGTTAAAACAGCAGTCTGGGAGAAACCCTTATAAAGTGTGTGTGTCAATTGCTTGCATCCGGCTTCTGCTATGCATCATCGGACCCAGCTGCTCCTGCCGTGCTAGAGGCAAGGTGCCTACTCCCGTGTAGGGGGTCCCTTTAAGTGTTTCAACAACTTCCTCCACTCCCGTCCTCCAGGTGGGCGTAGCCCTTTCTATTCCCCCCCCCCGTCCGAAGCGTGCTGGTTCCTTTCTTCCTCCTTCTTTCACCACTCAAGCATGCCATTTGACTCCCCCCCATGGGGGCTGTCTCTAGTCCTCCATCCTCCCCCCTCTCACTCACTCTCTCCACACACCCCTCCCTTGCCCCCACTATCTCTCCTCCCTCTCTCTCCCCCCTTGCCCCTTCTTCCCTCTCCCTCCCTCCATCCACCTCTCTCTCTCTCCCCTCTTGCCCTCAACAGACTGTATATGCGTGACATCCAAACTCCCTAATATATATATATATACAGTATATCCTAGATCATTCTGTGAAAGATAGGATTTGTATATGCATTTGAAACTATATGAAGTATCCATGGATCTTGGTGCTTTGTCTACATACACACATACATACTTACAATCAACTTTTTCATGCTTAGTTAAGGACAGAATGATTGTATAATTGGCAGAAGGATTATGTAAATATGCACAGTTGTGAACACAAAAAACATCTCTTCTAGACAGACAGAAAAAGGCAAGACTCCAAGTCACCTTGTATAGTTTTAAAAATGTTTTTAAATAAAAAATGAAAAATAGCTAGCCTTCATTCCTGCTAATTATGTCTCCATTAGGAACTAAATGTACACTCAACAGATGAAATTCTTTTATATCTCTTGCTTCTGGTTTTATGTATTCAATTATTTATATAATTGGTTCATTATGTTTCATCAGGTCAGTGTTGACTGTTACCAGTCATATAGACAGATCTTTGTTAGGATGATCTATCCCTAACTTAATTTTTGGGTCTTCCTCCATTGCACCCAGCATTATCATAATCAAGTTCATCCAACTTGCTGTTCATTGTCCTTTTTTATATTTTGTTTTGCCTTCCCTGGCATTTTTTTTACTTCTCCAGAGAGTTACGTCTTCAAATAATATGTCCAAAGTAATATAATTTGATCCTAGTCATTTCTGTGAGTTCTAGATTGATTTGTTTAATGTTTTTTCTGCTTTCTTTCTTGGGTATCCACGATATTTTCAGGATACCATGGATTGTTTCTCCAACACCAAGATAAAATAGTATTGTTTATATCAATATTATTTTTCCCTTCAGCTTGTTTTTAAGGGCTATGAAAAATATTTAAAAGAACAGCTTTCCAAAGCATATTAAGTCAAATAAAGTACTTTTTCTTTAAACATTAAAGCATCCACATCTTTTTCAAGGCTTGTATAGTTGTTTCAAAAAGTATTTGTATCTTTATTAACATGCATAGTCACTTCATTTTGCTAGGGACAACTTTTGAAGCAGCCATATGAATCTTGCAAAGGACATAGCCGCTTTAATGTTTCAAAGATAAGTGCTTAAATTATGCTAATGCACTTTGTGGAGCACCTCTTCAAAATTGTTTGCACAGGCCTAACATTGTTTATATTCTCAACAATTTTCCTTAGAAACAGAAATTAAAATAGCAACAGGTATCTAATGGATGGCACTTTTGTAGGAAGAGCTCCTATCTTGAAGCAGTCTACGTATCCCTTACCCTGAGATCACATTAACTTGCAAAAAGTCCCATTTTGGATTTTCCAAGTGATGGATTTAGATTATTATCGAATGTTTTGACTCATTTGTCCAGCCTTGATAAAAGTCTAAATAATTATTCTCCACATAGATTTTTTTTTTGACAATTTGGATAAAACTAATAGAGGATGCACTGTTCCTGGCATTTGCATCTGAAATGGCATTTGCATAATGGCATCATCAAGGACATAGTCATTTTGACACCATTGCTATTGACTGTAGATACTACTAGGTAAAAGTTCACCTTGGACAGCTAGAAAATGTTTTTCAGATATATTTTTGTCCATTAGTGAGTTTGGTCAATTTGATAGTTCCACTTTTTTCAAATGTATCCAAAAAATTTTAAAAAGAAAAATTGCTATGCCTTAGTCATTTTTCCATTTGTTTTTCCTTGTCAGCATACTTCATTTGATTTACAGCATATGTTTTAAGGAGAATTGTTCTTTTTTTCTGAAAGTATAAAGGACCTATCATCAATTACTCTGCTCATTTATGTCACCACTTTATTCAAATATTTTTGTTATCAAAAGTAGCCAAGGTCGCCCAACTGGGTTTCCTGCCTTTTTCTTCATATGCATGGTATGAATTCTTAGTATTGTTCTTTTCCCCCCAATCATGGTGGCTCTAAGGTTGTAAAACTATTCCACCAGCAATTCCTTTGAGAGTGGACCTGATTTTCCATCCTAGAAAAAAGATAAATGCTAGCAATACACAAAGCCCAAATAGCAGTCATACTTTCTTTAAGTAAAAGAAAAGACAAAAAAAATCCACAGAGGGCTGCAGGATTACACTTTCTTTCAACTTGAACCTTTTAAGGCCTAGCATATTTTCAACAGCCCAGCTCTTTACATCACTTACCTACCTCTGCTTCATCTGATCTAGCAGTTCTTTTCTCAGGTTTAAAAATTTTGGGGAGAAAAAAGAGACCAGACTAGAAAACTTAGTAATAGAACAAAGCACATATTGAGGAGCAAGATCCTGTTATCTTGGGTCTAGTAGGACCAACTAAGTAGCAGCGAATGAAGCTGTGGAATTTCAGTTTAAAAAATGATCTAGACTCTAGAAGATGCTAGGATAAAATCTAGAATTTCTTGTTTGCAAAGCATGTCACTGGATTAAAATCTAAGGTTTTACAGGAGTTTGTCATTTCATCTAGTATTTAAACCTTAGCATCTTAGCATCTTTAAGATATGTGGGTTCCAACTCACAGAATTCCCCAGCCAGCATGTCGTCTATATGTCTACCAAAACAAGTCTGGAAGAAAGTATAGATACTATCATTTGTTTACAATAGTGGCGAATATCTGTAGCTTGGGTATAGGATGAGGATGAAAGCTCATTCTCCAAGCTTGTGGGTTGGTTTCCGAATATTTCGTTACCAGGCTAGGTAACATCTTGAGCAGCTTTTCGGGAATGTCTGTATCCCACTCTCAGCAGCAGTTCACCTTCTAATGACCTTGACCTGAAGTAATCTCCCCATCACAATACCCATCACCAGCCTCTGACTGATAACTCACCCCTGACCCCCTGATAATTCATACCCTCCAACAACCCTGACCTGTAAGTAACCTTCCCATCAAAAGACCCATCACACAACTCCCTCTGGTGACTCCTCACGAAACCGTCACTTGACACGCCCACACCTGAAGCCCTTATAAATTGAAGAATACTGATACAGACATCCTCTAAAAGCCACTGAAGACATTATCTAACGAAACATTTGGAAACCAACCCACAAGCTTGGAGAACGAACCTTCACCCTCACCCTCACACTATCATTTGTTTTGTTTTATTTATCTACTTTTCAACTTTTAAAATGTTCCTCAACACAGCTGACATTAACTCTGAGTTAAAATGGAATATAAACTGGTGTGATTTCCCACAGTGCATTCATATGTACTCTCTCTGGCATACAGTGAATAAATATACATTTAAAAATGCCTTTCTCTGTATCCCTTTCCCAAAATTCTGACTCTGATCATATAGTATGAGG